GGAGCGACGTCAGTGTAGGCGGTGGGCGGAATTGCACCGGCGTCGGCGGTGGGCGGAGTTGCGTCCGTGTCGGTGATTGGCGGAGCGGCGTCGGTGGTGGAGGGAGCGGGGTAGGCGGCGGCAGCAGCGGTGACGGTAGGTGCGTCTTCAGTGTCTGTGGTGTTGGTCTCAGATATGGAGGTGGTGGCATCGGCAGCGATGGCGTTCGCTGTCCCGGAAGTGGGGTACCCGGATGTGACGTCATCTGTGGGTTCTCCGACAGTGGCCTCATGGCCAATGGCGGCGGGCACATTGTGGGGAAGGTCCTGGGTAGGGCTGGGGATTTCGGGGGTGGAGGAAGCCCGTTTTGAGTGGCAGGCACCAGTAAGTTTACGGTTTTTAGTGTCCAATAAAGCTGAGTAGAATTGTGAGTTCAGGTTGTGGATCCTACGAACAATAAAAAACAGGAGAGGTCCTTTGCAGGTCTGGGAGAGGGAGACTCTGAGCTGGGGTAGGCTTGATTGTAGTGCCTGCAGATGCCGGCGCAGTGCTGCAAGTGTCTGTTTCAGGAGTCGCAGGGAGAAACGCTTCTGAAGGATCTCAATGCTATGAATGTAGATATTGTCACGGTTGGGGCCAAATTGGGAAGGCTTGAATGTGGATTGTCGTCCATTGGGGATGATCTGGTTCCGTAGGCAGGTACTAAGAAAGGTGATGTGCCTGTAGTACCTGGTTTGCTTCAGGACATGGTCGAGCAGTTTCAAGGCCGAAGAGATTACAAGAGAGTTGCAGTGGGAGAGAGATCCCCTGAGGTTTGTCCGGAGGGAGGAGGGTAACTTCTTCAGGCTAGGCATCCTTAGAAGAGGCTTCGCAGTGGGGTTAAAATTGAATCAGAGATAGTAGGAACTGCAGATGCTGGAGAATCCGAGACAACAAGGTGCAGGGCTGGATGAACACAGCAGGTCAAGCAGCATCATAGGAGCAGTTTCACAAATAGACAGTGCACTGGTCAACAAAATCAATTTCTCACTTTGAACCTGCCTAATTGACTTGGATGTCAATATTAAAGATCCGTCATGCTTACCTGCTTGGTGCAAATGTGATGCTTACATTGTTACATTTTAGGAAGAGGATATTGTGCAACATTTGTATTTATTATATTTTCATCGATTTTCCCCTCTCCTCACTCTGCAGGGACAGTCCTGGTTCAGCAGTTAATGACTGTATTTATAAGTGAACACAGCAACTTATTTCCCAAAGAAGGAGAAGAGATTCAGGGCAGACAGGATGGGTGCAATAACAACAATGAAATACCAAAGAAATCCTTTGTGCCATTTTCCCCACCTCCCAACAAAGAGAACAAGAAGCCAGCTGTCGAACCTGTCCGTCAATGCTCCTGGGATAATTCCGAGTCTCCCAAAAGGGGAAGCAATGAGAAGGGGGGCTCTCCTACTGCACTGAATGGGGGTAACAAATCCAGCGGCAGCCCCAAGACCAGCCTGTGCAGAGTGGATGTCAATAGGAGCCCACCCATCACCGTGAAGAAGAATCCAGCCTATTCTAAAGGCAGTGGGATAGTGACAAATGGGTCCTTCAGCAGTCCGGCAGAAAACCAGGATAAAATGCAGACATTGCCAAATGGCAGTTTGCAAGCAAGGAGAAACTCCTCCCTGAAAGGAACAGGGACCAAGATGGGTACAGGTAGCATGCAGAACGGGGGAGTGAGAATGGGCATCTCCAGCACAGATATGATGAGTTCCTCTTTAAACAATCGAATTGCAGGGTGGATGCCCAACGGGTATGTCACGATGAGGGACAATAAGCCCAAGGACGCAGTAAACAGTGAATCCACACAGCACAACAGACTATCCACCTACGATAATGTTCAGCAGCAGTTTTCACTTTCAAACTCTGATGACAAGCAGAGTGTGGACAGTGCCACCTGGTCTACCTCGTCCTGTGAGATCTCCCTGATGGAACATTCAAACTCCTGCCGCTCCTCCACAACTACCTGCCCAGACCAAGACATTTATGCAGCAAATTACGAAGACCCAGTTTCAGAGGGACCAGTGCATGAGACATCTATTCGGACTGACTCTGAGAATAAATATGAGCGAAGTAGCGGGGGCGGCTGCAGCAGTCAAGCTACGAACAGCAGTGATAACAGCGACACATTTGTCTCCAACACTTCCACTGGCAATCACAGTGCCTTGCACAGTCTCGTGACAAGCCTGAAGCAAGAAGTAACAAAACAGAAGATTGAATATGAAGCAAGAATAAAAAGGTATGTGGCTGTTAAGACTACAAAAATACAGAAATACTATTTTGTGTACTGCAGCCTACAGTTTCAACATTCAAATAAAACTGACCATTATCAGAATTTACCATAACTTTTCCCAATTAATTATTTTCCTGTTTTGTTGTAAAGTGAATGTTATTTTCTAATATCCATAGATCCTTTTTGGCTGGAAGCTTCAGGGTTGGATTGAACTCAACTCTGATATAATTGAATATTGTTAAGACTTGCACATAAAGAATAATCTCTGAATAGATTTGCCAAAAGTTGCTTGCTTAGTGGGAGACCTATCTGTTACCTACCTAGATCTGTAAATGGATGTACTCCATTGCCATTTGATACAGGTGTCTGGCTGCTTAAGTATGCAAATCAAATACAAAATTTAAATACAAGCGTGCACTGTGTATGTTCTACTTGCTTGTGCCAAGAAGCAGCAGCTCTTAAAGGGACCACCTGACAGCCAAAGAGACATTTTGAGGTTTTAGCTTGGGTGCTTAGGAAAAACAAGGGTGCCTCGCACAGAGAAGTTCCATACATTACAAAATCCACTCATGATGCCCTGTGAAAGTCCGTCCTTGTGAGATACAATATGTAGGCCATCTCAGCATAGAAACTGGCCAATTTCTAGTGTCCAGATTTGGTGAGTTACAGTAGTGTCATGAACAGAAATTCTGTGTAAACTCCCTTCCTGTGATCAGGATGTATTTGAGATGAAAGAGTATATGTTCATGGAGTACCAGTAGGGCCTGCTCCAACATCACAGTAGATCTGAACGCAGCCTCAAATCCACATTCTCGCTGAGACCTGATAACCTTCCAGCAACTTGCTTAACAAGAATCCACCCACCTCTGTCTTAGAACTGTTCAGGGAGTCTGTTTCTATTTCAGGAAGAAAGTTTGAAAGACTCACAATGCTCTGTAAATTTTCTTTTACCCAATCTCTGTTGTAAATGGTCGCCAACTTATCTTTAAATTGTAATCTGTAGTTTGATAGCCTCTCACAAGAGGAGACACCCTTTCAACATTGACCCTGTCAAGACCCCTCAGCATCTTACGTGTTTTATTCATATTGCCTCTTACTCTCTTAAACTCGAGCAGATACAAACCTAGCCTGTCCAACCTTTCCTCATAAGACAACTGTTCATTCCAAGTATTAGTCTGGGAGACCTTCTTTGTACTGCTTCCAATTCATTTACATCCTTCCGTAAATAAAATAGCCAATATTGTGCAGCAAAGCCTGTGTAACTGAAGCATTATCTCCCTTCTTTTATACTTGGAAACATTATAAATTGTGATAAAAATAATATCAAGGGTACATTTCTAAATTCCAAAGAAAGACTTAAGTTATGAGGATAGATTGGAGAGGTTGCGACTGCTCTCTTTGGAGAGAAGAAGGTAAGAAGAGATTAAATAAAAGTTTACAAAATCAAAGGGGGCTGGATTAGAATCTATAGGGCAAAACAGTTCCTGCTCATAAAATGGTCTAAAACCGGAAAACATAGATTGAACTGATTTGCAAAAGAAAAAAATGCAAGGTGAGAAAAATCTTTTACACACGACATGTTGGAGTCAGAGATAGTAGGAACTGCAGATGCAGGAGAATCTGAGATAACAAGATGTAGAGCTGGATGAACACAGCAGGCCAAGCAGCATCAGAGGAGCAGGAAGGCTGGCGTTTCGGGCCTAGACCCTTCTTCAGAAATGGGGGAGGGGAAGGGGGTTCTGAAATAAATAGGGAGAGAGGGGGAGGCTCCATCCCCGCCTCTTTGATCGGTCTGTCTCCTCTCCACCTATCTTCTCCTCTATCCATCTTCTATCCGCCTCCCCCTCTCTCCCTATTTATTTCAGAACCCCCTTCCCCTCCCCCATTTCTGAAGAAGGGTCTAGGCCCGAAACGCCAGCCTTCCTGCTCCTCTGATGCTGCTTGGCCTGCTGTGTTCATCCAGCTCTACACCTTGTTATCTCAGATTCTCCAGCACCTGCAGTTCCTACTATCTCTGAAGCTATCATAGAGACATGTTTACAGTGTGGTAAATCATCAGGATCTCATGGTCTGTACTCAGGGGTTTTAAAAGAAGTGGCAGTAGAGATTGTGGAGGCATTGTTCAAATTATTCTGGAGCACACTGGATCTTAGACGGTTCGGGTAGATTGAAAAGCTGCTAATGTTCAAGAAGGGAGAGAGTCAGAAAGCGGGAATAAAATGTCAGTTAACCGAACATCAGTCATTGGGAAAATGATAGATTCTGTTTTTAACAAAGAAATAGCTAGATATTTAGAAAGATTTAATACAATCAGAATCAACATAGTTTTGTAGAAAGAAAATTATGTTTGGCAAATTTGCTGCAGTTCTTTGAGGATATATGTATTTGGGTTTACAGAAGGCATTCAAGGAGGTAATACATAAAACGTTATTGCACAAGATAGGAGCTCATGATATTGGGGATAATGTATTAGCATGGATTGAGAATGGCGAACACAAAAGACAGACAATTGGGATGAATGGATCTTTTACAGGTTGGAATGATATAAATAGTCACAAGGATCAATCCTATGACCTCAATTATTTACTATATATATATATTTATGACTTGGTGGAGGGGCAGAGTGTAATGGATCCAAATTTGCTAATGATACAAAAATAGGTAAGAGGGCATATTGTGATGAAGACAAAAGGAATCTGCAAGGGGGCACAGTTAAGTTGGGTGATTGTGCATAAACAATTTTGTTGGGTTGTTTCTTGACTTGGAATTTTCAAGTGTTTTCTTAAACCGTTACATCTGCCATTTGAACTAAAGGGCTCTGCATTAAGGAAGACCATATTAATTTATTACTTTCTTTCTTAGTTTTCTAACTATTTCCACATGCCTAGAAAGTTCCCTATGTGAGTTAAACAATTAGGTACTACAATGCTGGAAATCTTAAACCAACTCTTGTTTCAAAGCTTTTCAGTAAATAGCCTTCAGAGATGCATCAGTTCAAACCCCTTTACACACGATGCACTCATTTTGTTGCTGGTTTCAATTGTAACAAACAAATGATGAACTGAAAGAAGCAGCCTTTGTCTTGTAGCAGACTTTCTCATTACCACCTTCCAGCTGCACCAGTGCCAGAGGGAAAATTAAGAAATCCAGATGTTCCTCACTAAGAATTATCATCCATTCCAAAATCATCATGGGGAATTCAATAATTGTAGCATTGCTGTTTGCAGAAGAATGTGAATTTATATTTTGCACAAGCTAATTGGCAGAAAGTCATATCTTCATGAGCCCGTTAACTTGAATCATGCAGCATCTGTAATACCTCTGAATAGCTCTCCAGCATTATGTCTTCTTTTGTGGAAAAAAAAATTAACTGCTATGATTTCAATGAACAGCAGCTGAGCGTAATTGTCAAGACCTTTTGTATTTTGTTTATTTTGTGCATATATTGTCTGCTGGTGAAGGCATATGTGCAGCAGCTGGAAACTGCCCTGTACATACACAATTGAATTTTAAATGTGGCATGAAGTACATATTCAATGATGGACAGTTCAGTATGAAATCACATTTCCTCCTTCACAAAAAAAAAATTCTGCTTCTTCATCAATGGCTTTCAAGAAGTCATAAGATCCCTTGGGGTTCTGCCCCTCTCTTACTGTAACTTGGCTTGGCAAAGGCATGGAGGGCAATGTTAAGCATGTTATGAATTCATTAGCTTTGCTTGAGCAGGTACCAGGACCAAAGTAGCAGTCTGCTTCCGGGGAGACCCAGAAGGAAGAATGTGGAATCACGTGGCCACCAGAGGAGGTTCTACCTCCTAAACCTGCAGCCTCTACCTCTAATCACCGCTATCCCTGAAACACCTCCACCC